TATTTCTTGATGGAAGGGAGGAGTGTTTATATCGTGCTATCGACACAATAAATGCATTTTATAAAATGTCAGGTTTGAAAATAAATTTAGATAAATCAAAAGCAATCTGGATTGGATCAAAAGCTAAATATACTGATAAAATATGTAATGACCTGAAAATTGAATGGGTAAAGGGTGAATTCGATGTATTAGGTATTGAATTTATTCCATATCTTGAAAACCTATGGGTAATCAACACCAGAAAGAGACTGGAAGAAATTAATAGACTTTTAGCATCTTGGAGAAAAAGACATTTAACACTTATTTGTAAAATAACAGTAATAAAAACCCTAGCAATCTCCAAACTAGTTCATATTTTCAATTCCTTGCCCAACCCTCCAGCAACATTTATTACTTCGCTTGAAATACTATTTTTTAAATTCATTTGGAATGATAAAAATGATAAAATAAAGAGGAGTGTAATAAAAAGTAGATATGAAGATGGAGGATTGAGAATCATTGATACAAGTAGATTTATTGATGCTTTGAAATTATCAACCTTAAGATTATATTTTTTAAAAAGTGAAAATAAAAATCCATGCAATATACCTTTCAAAGACATATTTAACTTTGGAGCTAATTCTGAAAGTTTTCTTGAGATTGAAAACCCTTTTTGGCATGATGTGCTAAAAGCATGGAAACTATTCCACAAACAATATTATGTTGACCCAAATAACATTAATGAAATTCTATCCCAACCACTATGGTTCAATCACAACTTCAAAAACTCTACATATTTTATAAAGAATTGGGCAGAGAAAGGGATTATGAATATTAGGGATACATGTGATGAGAATGGATTACTATCAATAGAATCTTTAAAAGAAAATTATCATATCAAAGGCACTTTTTTAGATTTCAGATATTTACTGAACATATTACCTGAATCTTGGAATTATACTTTAAAGCACTGTCTCTCTATTCCAGTCAGTAATTTGAATGTTAACCAATGCCAGATACATTTAGTAAAAGCATCCAAAGACTTTGATTGGAAAAATATATTTACAGTATATAGAAAGGGATTGCAAGATACAAAGCTTATAGACTTTCAATATAGATTTCTACAAGGTATTATTTACACAAAAAAGGAACTGGTCAAAAAATGAAAAAAATTGAAAACAGTTTGTGTTGTTTTTGCAAAGATGTAAATGAGAGTGTGTGTCATGTGTACTGGGAATGTCAGGAGACTCAAACATTTTGGATAAACCTACAAATTTGGCTTAACAATTATTATCCACATCCATTGAAATTATCAAAAAACATGATTTTGTTTGGTACTCAACATGAAAATAAACTCTGTCAAAAAAGAAACGCAACCCCTGTCCTCAGATATGAAAAATTCGTTTGAATGAAGTTATTGCTTCCAAACTAAATTTTATTCGAATGTATTGAAATGATACACGTAATTAATGAAGATTACCATCCAAACAACTGCATTTGTACGCATAAGTGTATTTTATTGCTTATTCCGTCACAACGCATGAAATGACCCTCATGGTGACTTCGCACAAAAAAAAAACACATGCAAATCATGAAAATGGCAGTTAATGTAGGGGTGTATAAAAGCCCATGTGCTTCCGTATTATATTCATTCATTTGTCGCCGAAAAGCTATGTTAAAAATGCCACGATTGAGTGCTGCCGACCGAAATATCGCCATTGGTCGTGTTCAAGCCGGAGAAAGTTTTGGAACTGTTGCACGGCACCTAAATGTTCACAAAACAACGATATCCCGACTTTGGAGCCGCTACAACAACTTCAATTTGACCAACGATCGCCCGAGAAGTGGAAGGCCAAGAATCACGACCCCCCTTCAAGATCGGTACATCCGGGTCCATCACCTGCGTAATCGGCATGCCCTACCAACCGTGATTGCCACACAAATACCAGGTTTGAGGAGAGTGTCAGCTCAAACGATTAGGAACCGTCTGAAAGAAGCGGGTTTACGTGCCTGTAGACCAGTTGTTGGACCTGTACTACGCCCCCTACATCGACGCCGACGACTCAGGTGTTGCAACAACGTAAGGATACGGACTTTACAAAACTGGAGGCGAATCTGGTTTTCTGATGAATCACGTTTTCTTTTGCAACGTCACGACGGAAGACAGCGTCTGTATAGGAGACGTCATAAACGTTTTGCGCCCATCTGCGTCCGACAGGTGGACAGATTTGGCGGAGAAAGCGTCATGGTTTGGGGAACCATCTCATACAACCAGAAATCAGACTTGGTGATCGTTCCAGGGAACCTGACAGCCCAACGTTACATCAACCACGTGTTAGAGCTTCACCTTCTCCCGATTATTGACCAACAGACACAGATTTTCAACGGGACAACGCCCGGCCTCATACTGCACGTGCAACAATGAACTTTCTGCAGAATTCCAACGTCAATGTCTTGCCATGACCCTCTAAATCACCAGACCTCAACCCTATTGAACACCTGTGGGATACTCTGGATCGACGCGTACGTCAACGTCAGCCGCCGCCACAGACGCTGCAACAGCTCGCCGTTGCACTGCAGGAGGAGTGGAGAGCCATTCCCCAGGAAAGAATCCGGCGTCTTATCCGTTCTTGTCCAAGGAGATGCCGTGCAGTGATTGCAGCGCGTGGTGCTCATACGAGATACTGAGAAAGACGCCCCCCTGGTGACAAACTGGTGTCTGTGAGATGACTTTTGAAATGACAATTTTAAACATGCCCATCTGGGTTATTATTCTGCCAAATTTCAGACTTCTGTCTTAAATAATAAAAATGCCGTGTCGTCCTAAAACTTCAGATCAAAATCTCTAAAATACAGGGGTTGCGTTTCTTTTTTGACAGAGTTTAGATTACCAAATCACATCATCATTGCTGCAAAGAGACATATTCACTTATTCTGTATTAAAAATATGCTTCCAAATCTAACTTTCTATATAAAAACTCTAAAAGAAATATTCTTTTTGGAAAAACATATATCAGCAAATAATATAAAATAAATAATTTCCATCATAAATGGAGCCTTCTCTCCCCAGTACTTAGATGACTCAAACTGTATTGACTTGTACCTGACATTATCTGTACATTATCTATTTAATGAATTATGCATGTTTATAACTATATTAATACAAAAATATCTCACCTGTACATATTACTTTAAGCCGTACGTATCACGGCTTGGTATATCTGCAATATTGTAATCTTGGGAACCAATAAAAAAAACAAAATTAAAAAAAACAACAAAAAAACATGTAGTGTATAAGTTCGTGCAGCGTCACCAACCTTAAGGTTGGCTGCCACAGAATACAGTAACCCATGGCAACCGTTCAGTTATTGATTATGTCATCATGAATGAAACTTCATTTTCATTTTCAGTTACTAGTAGAATATTCATGAAACAGAAATGAAGTAAGTAGGTTTTTATTACAAGAAGCTATAGGTTAACGCCATGACATGGCCAGTCAAACCCAGAAGATCATTGTCCACTGGGTCAGGAGAGCATATTGATATTCAGCAGAATAACATACAGATTCATGACAGTGCTTGGTATTTACAGAGGTAGCCGGTTAATGAAGCATGAAACTGTCGTAGTTGGGAGTCTTGTACAGTGACTGAACATGTCACAAATGTGTGCCGATTGTGTGGAGCTGTGTTATGAAGTGTCGGGTTAAGAAGCTGTTACCACACACCGTTACCACACGCCGTGAAGCACATGCCAACAATGGCCATTGTAAACGACCGCTGAGATAACCCTGTCGAAGCTTTGACTTTCCTTTGTACGATGTGCGATAGGTTTACCGGACACGCAAGTTGACGTGGCGGTTAAAATCACCGTGGAGTGAGTGAGTGACTGACTGACTGAGTGAGAGCCGCTTATAGCAATATTCCCAGTGGGGAAACGAACCAGGCGAACGCTTTAACCACTAGGCTACCCAATCGCCCCGTATATTGAAGAGGAAAAGGGGCTTCATTATAATCTCACTAGTTATCTTTAAGTGCTATGTACTGTGATATTAAAAAGTGGTATACATATAGCATTTATATATAATATAATGATGATGATGGTGTGTGTGTGAGAGAGAGAGAGAGGGGGGAGAGAATACATTCATTTCATGATAATGTGATTTTGACCGAAAACGTGTAACGTGTGCTCACAGACGGCTCGCCTTCCTGAGTTTCAAGCGATTTACCCACAACACCGTCTTTCTACAGTATTTCTGTGGTTTATGATTGTCCGCTGAGAAAAAGTGTGTATGTTGCATTAATAAAGTGCTGACATGGTTATCGACTGTAATATCGGCGACCCGTCCAGGCCCGCCTTTAGGCAATCCCTTATCAGTGGGTATTGTTCCACGAGTAGACCTCCCTGCTTCGGGTATGCATGCGTGCAGTGACACCCTTATTCATTGAGTAGAACAATCAACAATCAGTGGGTCCGCACAGTCAGGACATATCGGTCGGTACATTTTCGCCAGTACGTATCGTCATCTCAACTCCGATCTCAGCATGTGTTCCATGCAATGGCCTCACGCCAGCTTTCACGTACGTTCATTGCATGCGTTTAGTGCTACCGGGGACGTCTCAACACGTGTACGGCTGATTTAGCATCTATCTCCACAATACAGTGACACAGTACGACAGGCAGGACACAACTGTCTTTCATCATGAGCACCTCAAACGCTCAGGGTCTTGTCGGTGACAAGGAACACTTTCTATACACTAATGATCCAATCGCTAAGCGACACACGACAATAAACATTTCATAATCCACTAGTACACACAACATATTCTTTATAATGTAGTCGACTTAAGTTTAGAAAAACGGATAACGACCTATTGCCACGACCCCGGTCCTATTGTAAGAGTAATGTATAGATGTGCACTAAGATGGTGGATTAGGTTGATCCTATCCAATCACATGCTGAATTTACACGTTAATGAGTTCTCACAAAGAGAAGTGTTTTATTCGACTTAGGTATTGCCAATCCTTTTAGGGATTAGTGCTCCATTGAAAGCGTCCCTGTAACACCCTCTCTGCGTTGCCCTCAATAGTAGGATTACTGCCGAAGTACTGCCAGAACCGACACCCTGTGTTTGGAGGGTAGATACGGCTTGAGTTCGAGTCGAGCGGACGGGTGTTTATGTGCTCCTGAAGTGTTGACATAACTGTCATGGTAACTAGTTTTCACAAGAGAGGTGGGTCGGAAAAGTTGTAATCAATGTTCGTTTGTTTATGAATTCATATAATGTTTGTTTTGTTTTCGAGCTTTGCTGTATGTATGTGAGATCCGAGAATTTCACACGCCTGGTTCTACAGCGGGTAAATGGTTAAAATATGAACTAGGCTGCACATGTAGTGCATCTTGCACTTGAACCAAACAGCTGTTTGCTTCCAGAAACAATCCTCCCAAAACATATAGCTGAACTTAATCCTCAAGTCAGTCCACACTTGAAGACGTTTGATTTAATTATAATAACATGTCATTAGAGTACATTTCGATGTTCTCATTTCAGCAGTATACGGGAAATAACTCTAGTGTAACGATGACGTCCGAGTCCTCAGTCAATCCACCCAGCAGTAAGCTCCCCTGGGGCACGATCCTGAAGCCTAACTTCGGACTGGGTCACCAGAAGCTGAGCGAAGAGGAGATCGAAGCTGTAGTGGCCAGGTTGAACCAAGTGTCGGATTCAAAGGAACCGTCGTACGTCAGACCAAACAAAGACATGAGTCAAGAGGAAATAAATGGAATGGTGGGTAAAAGACTAAATCAATTGTACCTAAACGGTGCTTTCTGAGACACGACATTTATTAGTGGTGGATTTAAAGGCCGACGCTAAAGAGAAAGCGTCGCAAGACTATTTCAGCTATTCCGATTGGGGTGGGGTGTGTGTTTTTATCAAGGGGTTTTGACATGACAGTTGTGCTTTTTCAAACTAATATATCTAAACATCTGAAAAATTACATCTAAAAATGTTTCAGGGATCGTGTTTTCATTGGGTGGTCGCCCTGTATAGGTTGTGATAGTCCTGAGATATACCCTACTGCTCCCCACCAACACATTCATGAGCAGTGCATCAATGGAAGCAGGGACAAATAGGGAACCAATAGATACATATCGATATTCCACAGGGTAGAAGCATTCTTTACGTTATTGCTGTGTGTAGGTCTACAGGACCCAACACATATTTCTTAACAATTTTTCTGTTATTGCTGAACTTCTGTATTGCACCGCCTTTAGATTTACAAAACGCGTTAACCATTTGTGCTGGCAATCATATGCTAAACATCTATGTACAATTTGTGTCTTGGTTTATCAATCCCATGATGTTTATTATTCTTTCTAAAACACAAAACATTCAACACTCCCAAAGTAACATTGAATCAGCCCCAGACTGTTATCTCATATACATTCATCTGCAGCGATTCTCCTGTTTCAGCTTGAACGACTAACCAAATGTAAAGAAATTCCCGACAGTGACCGCCGTGTTGTGAAGTCCATCTACAAAGATATGGGCGTGGTCGCATCGTACGCATGGAAGGGGTTTAACTAGGAGAGACATGGATTGGATGCAATACTTTCCGGGGAAGACACGTTACAGGTTAAGGATGTACAATGAGTGTGTGTAGTTATGTGAACGGAATCCGACGTTTCTGAGTTGTCTTGTCATGATACATGAGCATTAACTTATTTTCATATGCAAGTCACTTCACCACTGTAATAAACCACCTACACAAATAGCGTCTTTTTCTTATGTCGTGGAATCGGTTCCCAATTGCGCAGATCGATGCTCCTGCTGTTGATTACTGGATTGTGTGGTCCAGACTCGATTATTTACAGACCACCGCCATATAGCTGGAAAATTGCTGAGTGCGGTGTAAAACTCACTCACTCACTTATGTCGTGGAGGGTGCGTACCTGTTACCAGAGCACACATCCAACACGTTTGACAAACTGGAGCAAGGGCCCTGTGGGGAGCCAGCTATACCCGCTTGGCCAAAGACTGTAGATGTGGACATTATTTTGTCTGCTCCTGTTCTAATATTACCGGGCACAGCGAACAATGGACAGAACCTAATGTTGTGTCAAGGGCGGACGTATGACACATGTGACGTCATTTAACGTTGACAGAGATTTCATACATTAGTGTCTTATCCTGGTTTGGTCTTGTTGTAACAAATACGATGCTTGGGGTATGGTGGTGAACCCTTATGGTAAATCAAGGCTTATTTTAACACCACCATGCGTGAAATTGCAACAATTCAACCAACAGATGACGGTTACAAGGCAATCGGTTGAGGAGAAAATAAGAAATTGAGTCATGGTATGTTGTCCATATAAGTTACCTATTTCTAAAAAAATGTTTCATGCACTTAAAATGGGTGACATCTGTTTCAATTTTGCGAAAATACCAGCTGCAAGTCATGCTTTGATAAAAACCAACAAACACTTAAGTGATGTACTTGAAGTAGCCTGGTTTTAGCTGCAAGCCTAATGAGCCTCAGTTTCAACATGTATACCCCAGCTGACAAAAACACTACCATTCCTTTGCCCTCCCCTTAAATGCTAAGCAATCATGATACCAGAAAAGGGTTTTACACATTATGCAAATGTTGAGAATCGGACACCTTCACTCGTGATAAGCGAACACATTAACCACATAGCTACTCCATAACCTCCACCAACAGACATAGGGCACCTGGGATGTACTGCTACAGGAAACAAGGGTTAGCTAGGGCCTACTCCATAACCTCCACCAACAGACATGGGGCACCTGGGATGTACTGCTACAGGAAACAAGGGTTACCGAGGGCCTACTCCATAACCTCCACCAACAGACATGGGCCACCTGGGATGTACTGCTACAGGAAACAAGGGTTAGCTAGGGCCTACTCCATAACCTCCACCAACAGACATGGGGCACCTGGGATGTACTGCTACAGGAAACAAGGGTTAGCTAGGGCCTACTCCATAACCTCCACCAACAGACATGGGGCACCTGGGATGTACTGCTACAGGAAACAAGGGTTACCTAGGGCCCTGCTCCATAACCTCCACCAACAGACATGGGCCACCTGGGATGTACTGCTACAGGAAACAAGGGTTAGCTAGGGCCTACTCCATAACCTCCACCAACAGACATGGGCCACCTGGGATGTACTACTACAGGAAACAAGGGTTAGCTAGGGCCTACTCCATAACCTCCACCAACAGACATGGGGCACCTGGGATGTACTGCTACAGGAAACAAGGGTTACCTAGGGCCTACTCCATAACCTCCACCAACAGACATGGGGCACCTGGGATGTACTGCTACAGGAAACAAGGGTTACCTAGGGCCTACTCCATAACCTCCACCAACAGACATGGGGCACCTGGGATGTACTGCTACAGGAAACAAGGGTTAGCTAGGGCCTACTCCATAACCTCCACCAACAGACATGGGCCACCTGGGATGTACTGCTACAGGAAACAAGGGTTAGCTAGGGCCTACTCCATAACCTCCACCAACAGACATGGGCCACCTGGGATGTACTACTACAGGAAACATGGGTTAGCTAGGGCCCACTCCATAACCTCCACCAACAGACATGGGGCACCTGGGATGTACTGCTACAGGAAACAAGGGTTACCTAGGGCCCACTCCATAACCTCCACCAACAGACATGGGGCACCTGGGATGTACTGCTACAGGAAACAAGGGTTAGCTAGGGTTAGCTAGGGCCTACTCCATAACCTCCACCAACAGACATGGGGCACCTGGGATGTACTGCTACAGGAAACAAGGGGTTAGCTAGGGCCTACTCCATAACCTCCACCAACAGACATGGGGCACCTGGGATGTACTGCTACAGGAAACAAGGGTTAGCTAGGGCCTACTCCATAACCTCCACCAACAGACATGGGGCACCTGGGATGTACTGCTACAGGAAACAAGGGTTAGCTAGGGCCTACTCCATAACCTCCACCAACAGACATGGGGCACCTGGGATGTACTGCTACAGGAAACAAGGGTTACCTAGGGCCTACTCCATAACCTCCACCAACAGACATGGGGCACCTGGGATGTACTGCTACAGGAAACAAGGGTTAGCTAGGGCCTACTCCATAACCTCCACCAACAGACATGGGCCACCTGGGATGTACTGCTACAGGAAACAAGGGTTAGCTAGGGCCTACTCCATAACCTCCACCAACAGACATGGGCCACCTGGGATGTACTGCTACAGGAAACAAGGGTTAGCTAGGGCCTACTCCATAACCTCCACCAACAGACATGGGGCACCTGGGATGTACTGCTACAGGAAACAAGGGTTACCTAGGGCCTACTCCATAACCTCCACCAACAGACATGGGGCACCTGGGATGTACTGCTACAGGAAACAAGGGTTACCTAGGGCCTACTCCATAACCTCCACCAACAGACATGGGGCACCTGGGATGTACTGCTACAGGAAACAAGGGTTACCGAGGGCCTACTCCATAACCTCCACCAACAGACATGGGCCACCTGGGATGTACTGCTACAGGAAACAAGGGTTACCTAGGGCCTACTCCCATTCACAATATGCACTGTCCCAGAAACACATGGGTTCCCTTGGCTCCAGAAATCAAACAGATGCCTATCTGCCCAGGACACTGTACACCTGGAATGAGTGATATGCCTATCTGCCCAGGACACTGTACACCTGGAATGAGTGATATGCCTATCTGCCCAGGACACTGTACACCTGGAATGAGTGATATGCATATCTGCCCAGGACACTGTACACCTGGAATGAGTGATATGCCTATCTGCCCAGGACACTGTACACCTGGAATGAGTGATATGCCTATCTGCCCAGGACACTGTACACCTGGAATGAGTGACATCCCTGTGTCTGTGTTCAGCAGTGCAGGTCACACACAACAAATATATTCATGTGCACTATAAACAAAGAAACAACAGCGTATGTTAAAGTAAGAAAGTATTTAATCCTTCAAAGCGGACGCGCAGGCCTCTGATGATGGTTCAGCAGGAATGACCCAGCCATCCGGGATACGACTCCCTGCAGGGATGTTGGGTGGTACGAGATGAAGGTCCCACTCATGTCTGAAACACAACACGTTCAGATGTACTAGTCTTACATGAACTCCTTGTCTCTGTCATTAGTATCCTGCTAAGCTATAGCAGTTACAAATTGAAACGTGAGAAGATATTTTTCTGATGTATTATGTAGTGATACATTGCCCTGTTCACAATATTGACAAAGGAGGACGCTTTTCAATACAACTTGAATGTTTCAGAGACTGAGCATCATTGAACAAACTGTGACAAAATCAAATCATTTTTCGGAGTAATTTCTTAGAGATCACATACCAATGCTGCCCAATTTCATGTAAATTAATAACAGTAATAATGCTTGTTCTTATACGACTTCACTTAGATTACTTACAGACTGGACTAGAATTTTGAGAGCGGGCAAGGGGCTCAATACAGTGAATGCTCAACATCTTCTTTACTTTTTGTTAACTTTCCTCTACGATGAACAAACATAACAGCATGCATACTTTTATACTGAATGAGTGAGTTTGGCTACACTATACAAACAAGGAGTTACAGAGCAAGCAATGTTATCACTGACTACAGTTAATGTGCCATTGTGTGGTCTGCATATGTAGCATATCTCCAGTATTTCCAGGTGCATCAGACCAAAGACAATAATACAGGTGAATCTGTGATCTGACCATTCTCTTAAATACAACCCTGAAGCAGTGAACTGACCTAATCTGCACCAGTGCTTCTATGCTGTGTTCAGCCTGAGTGTAGTAGCTATAAAAGGGAAATAACTCCGCATCTTCTGTTACAGCAGCTGAAATACAGACATGTCAATCACCATCAAATACAAATAATTAGTTCATGTGAAATACTGGTGAACAGCCATCTGCTTAACTAAGGCAACAAAAGAGATGAATACAGTGGACTCTGTCAATACCGGCCTCTCTTAACACCGGCACTCTGTCTACATCGGCACAAAGTTTCAGTCCCGGCAGAAATGCACGTTATTATCATTTAGAAACTTCTGTAAACATCGGCATCTGTCTATTCAGGATATCGGCATTGTTTTTCAGTCCCAACGAACAAGTTGTTATGAAAACGAATCTGTAAAAACCGGCACATGAAAGACGGCGTAACCCTTTGATGCAATTAGGTCCAAATGATGTAACAACACAATTCACTGTGACTCCCGAGATTATTCAGAAACGGAAACTGTTAATCGGTATCTTGTTAATCAGTGAGTGAGTGCGTAACACTTACCCAGAGTAATTAATACATGTAGTGGGCAGCTTGACTGTATAAACAAGCAAGTGTTTACATTTTGTTGATTCAGCGGGTATTGACTCGAGATTATTCAGAAGCGGGAAGTGTCAATCAGTTTCTTGTTAATTAGTGAGTGCACGTGTCACTTACATAGAGGCTAATCGTTTGATGGCGGTATCGTTGAGCGCTCTGAACATCAACAATATCACTGTACTCTTGCCGAGTATTTTCACATTTGTAAGAAGCGATTTTATTGGATAAAGATTGGTTTCTAACGGCTTTTCACTACACTCTGCTTATAAGGGTCGTGATTGGTCAAAATCAGACACGTGACCTAAGCAGCCAATCATATTATGGAAATGGATACCGTTCTCGTAGCGAAAACTTTTAGATTAAGACGAAAGTTTTGGGGTAAAATAATGCTATTCTGAACATATTAAGAAAGACATCGCTACCTATACGTAAATTATGGAACTTATTGGACATAGCGTGCTAGGTTATGGCCTATGACAAAAATGCTTCATGCATATATTTTCACATTAAGCATCGTGTGAAAGCCGAGATGTAACTTGTCAGTGACTTGACTTACATTGCATGATCGCACAAAAGTATGGAAATAGTAATTTTATATGTACGTTTGACAACTTTTATGAATGTTATTGTTGATTTCAATTTATTTAATGATTTCCTCGATGTTTGAAACATCGTTACTTTGCTCTTTGACAATGCTATTGTAGACCCGCTGCCGAAGCATAAACAAGAATCGTTGTTTGCAATAACATTGCGAAAAATAGTTTATAATTTTAATTCTGCCGATAATGTAATTTTTTGAGTAAAATTGATATTTTATACTTATCCTGACTCATGCTCTTTTTGCTTGTCTCCTTCCTCTTGCGAACATAGTGGAACACTTGTATCTCCCTAATTGAAGTTCCCTTCAATGTAAAATGACTAATTAGTACACCACGAGTTACCTCCCTTCCACAAGCGCTGGAACGAGGGCCACCCTCTACCCATGTGCCTCACTCTCTCCTCATATACTGAGCCCAACATTTGAATTTACAGGGAAATCCAAAGTGTTATTTGGGGAGGATGGGAGGGCTGACCTCATGAGTCAGGATAAGTATAAAATATCAATTTTACTCAAAAAATTACATATTTTTCCTTATCCTGACTCATGCTCTTTTTGCTTGTAGAATCCAACAGAGCGGAGGTGGGAATATATAATACTTTGGATTTTAATAATTAGTGATTTGAACTGTGATGATTGTAATAACCCTATGGGAACTTCATAAAGGCATTGAACTGATGAATTCCTGCTGCCAGCTTATCAGCTGCCATATAGAGGTTATTACAATGTACTTATTATGATAAGTATATATAATATTAATACAATGCTTAAGACTAATAGACTTAAGCTTGTTAATATGCTAGTATAAACTCCTTAGAGTTTGTTAGCTAAAATACTTTAAGATATAAACATAGCACTAAGCTTAAAATATGATTAATTTTAAGCTAATTATATAATAACAAACCTCTTTAGGGTTTGTTAGTTAAAATATTTATATGATATAGACAGTGCTGAGCTTAAGATATGAATAAGCTTAGCTATATATATAACAGCAAACTTTGTAGAGTTTGTTAGCTAATACATTTTACAATATGAGTATAGTATTGTGCTTAAGATATAATTATCTTAAGCTACATATATAATAGCCAAACTTAGTAGAGTTTGTTAGCTAATATATTTTTACAATATGAGTATAATACTGTGCTTAAGATATAATTAACTTAAGCTACATATATAATAGCCAAACTTAGTATAGTTTGTTAGCTAATATATTTTACAATATGAGTATAGTACTGTGCTTAAGATATAATTAACTTAAGCTACATATATAATAGCCAAACTTAGTAAAGTTTGTTAGCTAATATATTTTTACAATATGAGTATAGTACTGTGCTTAAGATATAATTAACTTAAGCTACATATACAATAGCCAAAAACTCTGTAGAGCTTATTAGCTAATAGATTTATAATGTAACCATAGTACTAAGCTTAAGATATGATTAGACTTAAGCTAAATGTATATAGCAAAAACTCCTTAGAGTTTATTAACTAATATACTTTTATGTTATAAACATAGTACTGAGCTTAAGATATGATTAAACTTAAGCTATATATATATAATAGTAAAACTCCGTAGAGTTTGATAGCTAATACATTTTATTATGTTGATTTAGACCTAGTATTGAGCTTAAGATATGAAGTAAACCTTAAGCTAAATATATAATAGCAAAAAACCTTTTAGAGTTTTAATAGCTAATATACTTATATGGTATCAACATAGTATTGAGCTTAAGATATGAAGAAACCTTAAGCTACATATGTATAGCAAAACTCCGTGAGAGTTTGTTAGCTAATACATGATATAATGTAACCATAAAGCTTAAAATATGATGAAAACTTAAGCCCAATATATAATAGCAAAAAAACTCTTTTAGAGTTTTGATAGCTAATATACCTATATGCTATAAACATAGTACTGCGCTTAAGATATGAATAAGCTTAAGTTACATATATAATAGCAAAAAACTCCATAGAGTTTGTTAGCTAATACATGTTATAATGTAACCATATTGCTTAAGATATGATGAAACTTAAGCCAAATAGCAAAAGCTCTTTAGAATTTGTTAGCTAATATAGTTATATGATATAAACATAGTACTGAGCTTAAGATATGAATGAGCTTAAGCTACCTATATAATAGCAAAACTCCGTAGAGTTTGTTAGCTAATGTATTTTTACAATATGAGTATAGTACTATGCTTAAAATATACTTGACTTAAGCTACGTATATAATAGCCAAAAAAAACTCTGTAGAGTTTGTTAGCTAATGCATTTATCATGTAACCACTGTGATGATAAAAAAACGAGCTTAAGCAAATTATATATAGCATGAAGCTATTTAGTACTGTTATAAGATAAGTAAAAATCTGTAAGATTGACTTATCTTCTCCGAGGAACTGTCAACTGTTGTGCAAGGACCATGGGATCAAATTGGTGGATACCTGAGATGTCCTCGGTGGTGATATCTCTCAGATAATGGTTGGCAACCACCATATCGGATCTACAGTAATAAACCCTTCATTATTTCAAATAACATTTGTGTAGATGAAATTGTAGAAGTTAGCGCTCTAATATCAAGAGTATTAAAGCTCATGGAGGGTCGGATTAGGTCCATCTGTCTTGTATGCACGTAGTATGACAGTTCTGATCCAAACGGAGATATAGTACGTGAGACTACACTCTGCGTAAGTTGATGATAGAGGAAAAAATCTGTTGTATTTTTCTTCCTGTTTGGTTTGGTGGAGATAAATTTACAGTGCTCTTGCTGGCCAGCGTGATAGCATCATCGTATCATGGAGTCCAAGTATGTCATCCAGGCATGTTCATAAACCTCACTTGTGAGGTGTTGTAGCACTATATTCATATCCCCAAGTTGGTACGTGAAACTTCCGTTTATTCTCCAAACAGAAACTTAGTAGGTTTACTAACCATCTAGTTGTGTTAGTAGCTTGATGATGAAATTCAGGTGTAGTCTGAAACGCTGTGGATTTCGATCCACTTGTATCACGTCGTCTAGGTAAATCGTTGCGATGTCCTTGACGATGTATGTGCACAACCGGGAGTTTGTGTCCTCGATGAACTTTATGTAAAATCGCCTGACTGCTGTGCCCTTGTCTAAACTTGACAGGGGAGGTCTCTAACCTGAAGAAAGCAGCCTAATCCTGAAGGTTCAGGTTAACTGGGCTGTAAGGAGGCTTGCTCGTTCATTGATATAAAGTTGTCACTTGCAACCTATGTCTTGAACTGTGAACTATGCTCGACCTCTGTGTAGGGCGTTGTTCATCGGGGTCCAATCAGAATAAGGCATTTTGATTCTGTAGAGTACCCGCGCTGTGATGTCACCGGTGTAGCAGGAAAAGGAACCTTGTATAATATAGTGCCGTCGTTGATATTAGAACAATCGTCGGTCTTCATCGTAACTTCCCGAAGTTACCCGAGTGACCACGTGTTTCGAGGATTAATGGTAAACGCGCGAAAGCTTCGGCGCAAAATACCTCGCTCTGTAATATTAATGCTGGGTAGGTTATTTTCCTGGCTGTCGTGAAAGTGCTTCAGTTTTGAATATAATTCCGACTTCTTTATATATAAAGGTACAATAACTTGTAAGTTGTCAGCTTGTAGACTGTATACATGAATGTATCGTCATAATTGTAGAATTAAAGCTGAATTTGTTGTACATATTTCTTCTCAGAAATGTTGACGATTATGAGTTATACTCGCTGTAACAAGGCTGCTGTTCAATTTCGATATTGAATTGTCTGCAGATATGCGTAATGGTCACGCATGTAGATAATCGTATCGTCGTCCGGGATTGCATATACTAGCAATTTATACGGAATAGTTGATTTCTGTGAAGATCTATGAAACGTCGTTGACAAATTAATACAGCGACGTTCTGTGTTGTAAATAGCCTGTGCAATTGTCTTCGCGTAGGCTTATAGACGGCATCTGGCATACAGTTGATAGACAACTTATGCGATGTCTTGAACGGACTGAGGAGTAGCTATATATGACGAGTGGCTAGTATATGGAGACCTTGGAGGAGACTTCCTCGGTGAACGCCGGAGACTGCACGAAGCTCTCGAAGTATCCCTTCTAGATCTACTGGTGAAGTAGACTTGGAGCCACTTAGCCTTCGCGACCTTCGCGAAGGTATCGAGTCAAAGTCCGATTAGAATATATATATATATATATATATAAGAGCGCTTGCTTCGCGAATGGCCTCTGTGTTTAACAGGATGTGGGGTCGGCGAAGCGCTACTCCTCCGCGACGTCCCTTGTAGCTGGTGAGGCTCTAGCTCCTTCGCGGAGGCGGCCTGGGACTTGCTGGTTCTGCATAAGTAGGGCCGAGTGGATCATCTTATCATTTTCAGAAGTCGTGTTACGAAATCTGGCGATAAGTGTCTCAATGATCGTTCTAGATCTATTTAGGCCAACGAACATACGTCTCGTCATGGATTCAACTGAACCAATTTACGATTGTAGTTCTTATTGTTGATATCGATGATCAACTTGTAGTTTTCATCGATGTCTTAAGCATTGAAGAAGGGGTCCATGTTGTGCGTGGAAAACTTCTAGGCGTGAAAGTTCGGCAATTATGGTGTCTGAACTTTTGTGGCTTTATGGGATGCTATGTCTAGATTCTGTGCTACCGCAGCAATCGGGTCGATCGGAGGTAGGGTGATAGCATCTGCGTCGTCTTCCTTCATCAGGTATGTCTGCGTCGTACTGCCACTCTAGGAAGGTGATGTAGACTTGTGTGCAGACTTGTGTGGTAACCTGTGAGGCGATCGATGTGGTGATGTACGAGGAGATCGGAGACTATTGACAGCTTCGCGAAGCTCTTGAGTAGTCCCTTGACTCTGTTAAATGACGATCTATATTCGGGTGTCCTTCCCGAGTGCCTTCGCGAATGCCTTCGCGAACGCCTTCACGAACGTCTTCGCGAACGCCTTCGCGAAGCTTCCTCTGCGTTCGGTGCTGGGGAACGGCGATTTGAGCTTCGCGAAGGCTTCCGTGAGGTCTGGTGGCTGAGTCTGCATCTAAGGATGAAGCCGAGGAATGTGATGATCTATCCCGCCTTCGCGAAGGCTGTACATCTGGGTCCTTCGTCAAGGTGGTCTGCGACTTCCTTCGCGAAGGCTGCATCGTCTTGGCTGCTACGTTGACTGGAGGTGCCTCTAGAGTGTTGTCTAAGTTGGAGCCTTCGCGAAGGCTCGTACTCTGGGCTGGCTGCTTCTCCAGTTTGTAGTGACCCTCCATCACGACCATGATTTGCCGTAGTAGCTCGTCTGGGATGGTCTGCGACGAAGTAGTCGGTGCCATCTCTGCGCTGTTAGTGGTGGGGCCCTCAGGTAAGTCGTCTGACATCAGTGTAGAGACATCAGGCTGCATGACGATCTCTGCTGATGTCATTGTAGCTGTCACCGGTCGCTACTTGTCTCATACGTCGGGGATGATGATCGGCTGATCATCGTAGAGGCCAAGTTCAGCGGCTGGAACAATCTCGGTTGAGAAAGTCCTAGTAGACTTCGTTGAATTCCCCTCAGAGGTCGACGCTGCCCTGGGGGTGCGAAGTCTGCGTTGAGTGTTGGTAGCGACGGGACCCTCAGGAAGATCATCGAATGTTGATCTGCGCTGACATCACTGTTGCCGACATCAGTCATTCTTTGATGTACATCAGGAATGATGATCGGCTGATCATCATACAGGCCCAAATCTGCGATGAGAACAATCTCGCTGAGAAAGTTCTAGTAGACTTCGCTGAATACCCTCAGTGCGCATTTAAGGGATGTCTGGGGAAGCAGGACGCTTTGGAGGCGGCGGACTACGCCCCACGCCTCTCCACCATTCTAGCGGAAAACCAGACGGGAGGGGGTCGACCAACAGCAGTAGACTGGCGAGGGTTCAGGTGTATCAGTCATGCTAGACTCTGCATACGTGACCTATCTGCTGCGCTGCTGCCTCAAACGCAAAGTAATTATTTATTAAAGGTAGAATTGGATAAATTAGTATCGCAACTGCAACGTGAATCACATGAAACATGGCGCAGTACAGCTAGGGCATATTAATTGCGGATCAGCAGCAGAATAAAAAGCGTAATGTGCAACAGTACAGAATTTTATCAACGTAATCCACTGCAACAGCACGCGGGCCCCGCATAAACAGTAGAAACACGACTAAATATCAATATATAATTGTTGAAAGATACTAGCTAAACCTCTATAGATCTCTATACGAGGTAACTAACTAAACATAATCAAAGGATATAGTGTGTCGGAGACACAGGCGCTCACATATGATCAGTTGAAATTCAATAAGAGATTTCAGACATTTTTATTTGATTTAAACAACATGAATGTGCATTCAGTCACTGCCTTGTTTCTTATTCAAACATTTTGTTAATGCTAAAGTGACAGTACGACAGCGAACTTCCGTGTGCGCAGGCGTCATAAGCGAACCTAGCTAAACCGGCACTCTGTCAAAACCGGCATTTTTACTTGGTCCCGACTGATGCCGGTATTGACAGAGTACACTGTATGTCAAGATAATTAGGTTGTTATACTGCAGCGTAGCACATCACATAGTGTGTAGATATTTGACACCAGAACTTAGTTTGAACTTACTGAAGTTACTTCAATGATAAACACATACACACACAGTTCATATTTTCAGGTTAGACTTAGTTAATACTTTAAGTGAGTTCTGGCTTTGTTTTAGAGCAAACTGCCTGAAAAGATATACCCTGTGCTTGTTTGGGGTAGATGATTTTGATGATATTGTCCGACAACCATAACTCACCTTTTTTCCCAAATAATTTTTCCATGGCAAGTTTCTTGTCTCGCTTCTCCTTGGCCAGTTCCTTCAAGCGTTTAATCTCCTTATCTCTCTCCATGGTCTCCTCCTCCACTGTGTCCAGCATCACCTACAACATGGCCGACAGGAGCATATCTCTGGTTATCTATGGTGGGATAAATAATGTCCAAGAGGACAACACTGGTGAAACAGTAATGAGATCTACATGAAACTTATGAAATAAGACAGTACCTTCAATGTCCTCTCCTCACTCTCATACACTGTCTGCTGTGTCTCTATCAGTGACGTCAGCATCTTCATCTTCTTCTCAAAGTTGTTGTCATACACATCGGAGGCATAGCGGCCTGCAACCAACACAAGATTATGGTGTATTTGCCACATCATGTTGTGAAGATCAGGGTTTTTTCCATCTCAAGATTGTCAATTATTTTATTCACAACATATTTGCTGTCATGAGCTAAGCTGGCGTTGAAATGCTGAAAATTTCTATGGGGACCTCACACTCACCCTGGTTTATGGCGGCGACTCTCCTGACTTTCCGCAACTTCTGGAGGGCCTTCAGGAACTCCTGTGTCTTCTTGGCATCTGAGATCTTTTTCCGGACAGAACTCAGTGTGGTATCGGCAGACTTCTTCAGCTCTTCTTTCTAAACATATCAATTTCATTTCATGTAACTGTCATAACTGAGGAGGACCTGGATGTAACAAAGGAGGAGGAACAGGATGTAATTGATGGGGACACAGATGTAAGGGAGAAGGACCTGAATTCAGATCAGTATATAAAATGAGGAAATTTCATCGCAGCAACACCAATCTGTCTTATAATCTGTCCAATAATTGTCTTCACCTGTTTTTCATGTTCAGCCTGCTGTGACATCTTCTCCCTCCATTCCTCCAGCTGCTTATGACGCTGTTCTCGTTTTTTCAGCTGCTGCTAACTTCATCTCATACTCCTCCTTCTTGCGTCTCTTTACCTGTACCTGTAACACCAGTCAATTCAGCTCTTACAAAGTTCAAAACCGGGGGTTACGTTTTCAGGCTCTTATTAAGCTCCAAACACAAATGTACAGATTTCTGGTGATCACAAAACTCCACACTGGGAAGTACCAGGCTCCACACATAATTATCTACATATTTCAGGCTCTTACCAAGCTCCACACAATAACCAACAGAATTCAGGCACTTACCAATCTCCAAATAGCAATAAATATTCCAACTTATCCATAAACCTTTGGGGCATTTACATAACGGTATTAACCATAATAAACTAAATTTTTGTTGCCTTTTGACATGATGGACCGAATCCCAAATTTGGCTGTGATCAATGTTGATACAGGGAAATCAATATTTACTGGATCAACAGACTTCAAATACCAAGATCGCACACCACATGTTCTTAAACATGTTCAAGTATTATTATTAGTAGCAGTAGTATATTTCATCGTACATAAACCAGCAAGAATAAAATTAAGAAAAAGTCTCAAAAAGTTTTAAAAGATAGGTATCCGTCTTAATGCATGTATTGAAAAACTATCCATTTATATACACTGACAATAACTTGTATTTTGAACCATGACCATCACAATCAGATCTCATACTAGTCTGCCAACCCTACATTGTGCAGATATGGTGTGGACAGAAATATCCACTGATGGTAGTCTTCATTGTCTGTAATTCTGAACCAGTCCAATTTGTAACTGAATACAATGGTCAGAGTATGTAGGCATAGTAAATGTATTATGTACTCATGCATGACTAGCTACAAACACTAAGGACTACTCAGTTGCGTTGTTTCTTAACACAAATAAAAAAAGGATTGTCAAGTTTGAGTCATTAAGCAAATGAATGAATGTTGTTTAATGCCGTTCAGTAGATATTTCAATAATACCATTAGTGATGTGTATTTATTGCAAATATGATTCATGTGCTGCGATAAATACCATTATGCTTTCTGTCATCTGTAAGTTGTAAGAACTTCATAGTTATGCACCATTTTGTTTGATTTTGCAATGGTCACAATGCATAATAAACACACCATATATTTTCACATCTTCGATTACAGGAATCAGTTGGTAACCTGTGATTTGGGGAAAATACATGATTTCCCAAAATGCACATCATCAGTATTTTCCAAATGAATCAAGATGAATGTTTGTTAATATTTCAAAATTTGCCACACTGACACTGAGTTACTGGCAGCAAGTCACTAATACAGAGGCTCTGCTAGTCACTACTGACATGGACTCACTCCCACACAGTCAGTTACACAGTCAGTCACATGGAACCAGTACTTACACAGAATGATGTAAGCTCTCAATAACGATGGCAAGGTGAGCTGATTTGAGTCTGTAGTCATGCTAGTTCACCTAATCATTTTGGTATTGACAATGTGAGCCTCAGTCTTCAACACACATCAATAGAATGTGTTAGTGTAAGAGTGCTTCATGTAACCAGTATTTGGTGTACTAACCCACTGACCCAAGTATTTAACAGATTCATGTCACAAGATGCAATATATATTGATCAATGACAGGTGTAATGCAGTGTATGATATACAACCCAATGATGTAGATGAAATATAATTCTCATTCTGACAGGATACTTCTCTTTCTTAAGTTCATATTCTTTCAGCAGGTAATCATTCGTTTTCAAATTTCAGAGATTGGAGATAGGATATTGATGGCCAAAATCATTAACTAGAGGGTACTGTAAATAGCAAATATTATATAATCCTCTACTTTTCAAGGGCTAGCATTTCCAGTATATCACAGTTCTGAAATCAAATAATTTCATTTCTTTGAGTATTGTTTTATATATTTCACCAATATCATGGCTCGACACACCAGAAATGGGTTCACACATTGTACCCATTTGGGAGAATTGAACCCAGGACTTCAGCGTGACGAGCGAACATGATTCATTGTGCATCTTGTTCCTGCCTGTAGCAGTACTAGCCAGCTCTTTACCACTCCTGGCTTGTGGGAAAGGTTCACCCTAGACCAGATCATACCCCCTCTCTCACTCCAATATTGGCCAGTTCCATCCGAGATCTAAGTCTGAATAAACCTTCCCCATCTACAATGAGTTCATAATCTGAATCAGAAGATTTAAGCATGAGTAGGGAAGAACAGGCCTACAACATTCCTTCTCAAGAGAATATTTAGGCTCGTACTACATGTACAGCTGTAACATAACTTCCCCACAGTGTCTGTCCACGATACATGATAAAGGATACAAACATAAAGGATACAGTAGGTTAGATCAAAAAGGTGTCTCAGTCAAGAGAACAACACTGAAACACAACCATGACTGAAGCCAGTTAAGTTGACACTTACTGAAAGAAAGAAAATCATTAACATGATAAATGTGTGTATGGTTCAAGATGTCTAAACACATTACAACATAAACATGAAAAGACTAAATGAAGAACAACTTTAAAGAATTTCTTTTTTATTAATCATGTTAATACTGCAAAATTGTCTGAACTAAAGATAACTCTTCAGTATAAAAACTGTTTCCAACTATCAGGGTAAAACACAAGATTTTGAACCAATTATTTAACAGCAATATCTGTAAGATTACCTATCAACATGATCAATATCATTTGTGAAATAAAAAACATGAACAATCATGAATACAAAAAACTTGTTCATTGTTCATTAACTTGTTTGTATACATCATCAGCTGTGTATACATATCACATAGTGCCATCAACTTTTGTGTATGAGTCTATGAACCTACCCTCTTTCTCTGTCTTGCTTGACTTTTTGCCTTGATAGTTTCCAACATTTCTTCATTGCTGAGATACTTGTGGACATCTATGCACTTGTCCTGTGAGTAGAACAATAATCCTTACGTCTAGATGTCTTATGACACTCAAATTTCAAATGGACAAAATTCATGCTGCGATGTAACTAGTACCATGAATTGGTAATAGACACTTAGCATATGGATGAGATGATGGTGAGATGCAGAAAGCAAATCAGCAACTTTGTACAGCTTGGTGCCTGCCCTGAGGCTGGGTAAGGCAACAGAAGGACTGCAGCACAGGCCACACCATCAAAGTACAGGAACAAACTATCAGCTTCTTCAACATGTTGTTACCAAATTATCCAGACATCTCTTTGCTCTCAGTAGGGTCCTTGAGACCAGTTCAGCCGCACACTGCCCACAACATCTGATTATTCAGCTCAGTGCTCACTAGCATCATTGTTTCAGGATTGAGTTCTATCCCTTTCTTGAACATATGTATTTTCTTCTTCCTAAAAGACTGATACAGTGGAATCTGTCTATAACAGCCTGGCTTGGGACTGACTCATTTCTCCGGATCATAAAGCAGTTTGTTACCGTTGACACTGCCATGATGAAATGGTAATTTTACTTAAAATGTTAAAAAAGGAATGTTCATGTTAACTGCAGTGAAACCGTGTGCCCCTCCAATATTTATAACTTCAGCCTGCATTATTCACAGCAATCACTATCATACTGCATCTACTCACGTCTCAAAATGAAGTGTATTTGACAGAAAATGGATATGCATACTGTTTCTGTTTTGCTAAAAGTCATATTTAGTGTAGCTGGACGATCACATGTCAACAAAATGTTTTCGCAGTGGAAATAGCGAGAGTTTGCATGAAAACCTCATTGGTGACAGGTCAAATTATGCAAACTTTCAGCATTATAATTAGTTTCTTTGCATTTACCATGCAAATAGCATGCACAGTTTGGAGGCCTCTTCAATGTTCATATTATCAAGCTTATTTCTGAGTATGCACATCTTCTTCTTAAATATCATAACTGTATTGGTCATCCTGGTCATGGTAATGAAGAAAACCATTGAACAAATTTGACATTGGGTCTTTCTTCCAAGAATGTCCAGTAAAATGTTGTAAAACATATGAATCAGGAATCTGTTTCCTTTTGGAAGATTTGTAAACAATGGAATACCAGTCAACTAAATTATCATGAAACCAACAACTACTACAGTCCCAAGTAGAAATCTATCATTATTCTGAATATTCATGACCATATGTAAGTTTACTTTATACTCCTCTGTAAGATTCTTCTCGGACTCCCACACTTGGGGGTCAGCTGTGGTGGTCATTGTCTCCAGAGACTGTAATTGATGATGTAGTTTGGCCAGGAGGATGATGCTTTGATGGAATGCCTTCTGGACATCTGGGAACTAGTAATACATGGAATTATCAATTACACATGGAATTAGTTTCGCGCACTTCTTAGCATGTTTAGTGTATTAAGATACCAACTGAGGACACTTGTACTAGATTTATATAAAAGTATATTTTCACTTGCCATCAATACATCTTTTTTATGAAAAGATGTTCCAACTTAGTAAATGATAAAGAGGTTAGTATGGCATTGCAATTCCAATTACATAGAGAATTAAGCCAATTCATATTGTTTAATTTACCTTGTATTCTGCTGTTGTCACATCAGAAGATTTCTTATGTAATGGCATTGGCACTGTTTTTAATTTCCCACGTTTCTTTAACCAATTCTGTAACCAATTCTGATCGTTTTCTCTTTGATATTTGTCATAGCAAGGGTCAGATTTATCTTCATCATCTGATAAATTCAGCATCATATTGTGACCAGACATATGCTCAGAGTTATTGTTCCTCATGTCCATAGGCTCTATTGTGGCCTGTGTGGAATGCAAAGGCATCATCCCTACAGTCACCATATCAGGACCCCTAATGTTTGAGGAGTTAGCATTTCCGAATGTCATTGGTGGTGGTGGTAGTTGGAATGAATGATAAGTACTACTTGAACTGTTGGGTATGCTGTTCTCACCAATTGAGAAAGGTGGTTGATTAAACAGTGGAAGTGCTGAACTTTGGACATTCATATCAGCTCGTTGATTCAATATAAATGTATCACGAGGCGAATCTTTTATATGGGAAAAGGGTGGTTGCATCCTTGGCCCTAAATCGGGTGCATTAGGAAACTGTGACCTCGGATTTGTGTTTTGAAACATTGCTTGATTATGTACTGACTGGCCAGAATGGGGCGGACCCATGATGGATGGTGGTGGTGGTGCACCGAGAAAGGGTACGTTGGGTCCTGCCATCGGAGGTCTCCCTGTTGTCGTATCAGAAGGCCCATGCTGGTACACTTGTGGAAAATTCGGTGGTTGTGGAAGGCTTATGTGTTGAACGTGTGGTGAATTTTCATGAGTAAAACCATGGTGCGTCACCTGCATTCCTCTGGGTATATGTGCATTGAGCCCATTTTGAGGTATACTGTGTCGCATACGAGGAGAACGTGATGGAAACATATTTCAGTGACAACATCAATTCTCAAAAGCCAAGCATGTAACTGCTTCTCACACATGGACCGCCATTTTATCGCTGAGACTGTAGAAAAGATACACCAAATGACAAAACGGATTGGATATTTTGATTAACAAACTAAACGCGCTTCCGCAAAGACTTACAACATGAATAATGGATAATAATGAATACGTTGAAGTGAATATCATTTGTCAATTACACAAACTTAAAAATCGTAATGAAGGTCTAGGTTAGCATTTTTTATTCGTTTGTACAAATTGGCAAGTGGTTGTCCTCGTACTGGTTTTATAGATTGCAGGCGATGGCTCAAAAGTTAAACATGTTCCCGGCTTCCTTTGCGCGCTAACTTGCGATATGCGAGACGGGGCCCAGCTTATCTCTACAGTTAGATTAGACAGAACATAGTTTACTCAACTATATTTCCACATCACACTAATAATGAAATCAGTTAATAAAAACGGTTTATGTGTTTTAAGGGATTAGGAATTGCAAACGATTGAAATTAATAATTCACCATTGACATGTATTTTGTCACGTGATGCAAACAAACAAAATGGCGGATCAAAGAGGGGCACGGCTTTTTGCAGACATAAACAGTTGCTTCAGGAGAGATCCACTGATGTATGTTCACCCAATCGTAATTACCAAAATACATTTTCAACACACTCGTGAATGCTCGCTTCACATGTCTTTAGAAAATTGAATGTATCCTGCAAAATAGATCACATTCTCAAATAAAACGCGCAGTGAGCTGATGGCAGATTGACTTAAAGTTGAGACGAAGTTGAGTAGATCTTATAACATGAGTAAAGTGACACATCGCTATGGAAGTCTCTGAATCCCTGTAGACATTATAATTGTTATAACACGGCGAATGCACATAGATTCGGGCACACCAGACATACCCTGTTGGTTCGGGGATAGGCAGATCGACGGAGAAAGTCAGTCGAACGTAGTGTATTTAGGATAGTGATATTGTGAAGGGAGACGGTGATATATGTGGTCTACGAATGGTGCGTTAAACTCGTTGACACTGCCAACTGGTAGACAATTTACATTAGACTCGTAGACAAACCGAAGGTGTATTCGTTGAATTTCTGTATATTTCTTGTGTGTGAAACTAAGCACTGATCAGTATTATTATCATTATTATTAAAACTTAGTGAAATATTGGCTTGTCTTTTATTTACTTCAGTAACAGTTTGGTAAGAGTTCCTCCCGTTCCCCCATCCCAAATAATATGTGTAAATATTCTAGAATTATAAACAAAACTTAACACAACAATTACTAGAGAACTCACAAAATGATTAAAAGTCCAAAATTTAAGTTAGGGCTAGGTTTAGGGTTATGTTGAGAGTTTGGTTTAGAGTTGGGGGAACGGAAGGAACTCTTTCCAGCAAGTGGATTACAGTACTAATATTGTAGTCATTATTTTTTTACTTGCAAGATCTTTTGATCGCTAGTAACAGGGCTCCAGATAAGGGCCGTATCGGCGTATGTACGGATGATAAATATGCACGATATGGTTGGAAATAATTTAGAAAACATAGCAGCCGCAGCAATGGTGTATGGTCTTAGAATCATTTACAGACTTATTTATCTGAAAAAAGTATTGTTTTATTGCGTTTTTTACCTGTTTACACAAGAGTATCAATGTTGTGGTGCATATATGAAACGAAACACAAGATCACATACTCCATTAAATTCCATTCAGTACTTACGTTTTTCCAGTACTCCTATTTTTGAAAAATAAGGAATACATACTCCTAATGTTGAAAAATTATCTGGAGCCCTGCTAGTAAGAAATTAGAAAGATATCACTTGATCCTCACATCATGCTGTACTGGCTGCCAAACAGTTTTAGCGGTATTTACAAAAGTACTCCGCCATTCATTAGATTAATGAAACAGAATTAATTATGATACTTAATTATCTATTCACCGATGTGTCCATGCCGTTCATTGCCGCCGATGATGTTTTTAGATAACGCAGTGGAAGGGAATCACGGCAGTACAAATAGGTGTTTTCTCACAACAAACTGTAACAGTTATCGCCACATCAGAATGTATTATGTCATTCGGGAAATAATATATATTTATGTCCTAAAATGACCTTGAATAATTGATTGTGTGACCACTTGAGGTTTTTTTACGGTAGATTGATAGGGAATGAAACAATTAATGACTTATATGAACTTGCTATTATATAGATTGTGTGACAACATGGTATAAAATAATAAAACATCAACAAACAAAAAAACAGCAGTGAATGCAAGAGATTATGTTTGAACACTGAAATATCACAGATTAGTTTTGTTATGTATGAAATGATATAATGTTATTTGACTTATGTATGAAGTATAATCTGACCGATATATAAGTATTGTAAAGAGATAAGAATGTTCTATCTTGTAATTGGCAGTTATCCCCGGTCTAATAACACACTGCTTAGTTTCCTCAATTTATGCCTTCTTGGAGATATTGTTAAGCTTGTTATAGGTAACAGCACCCTTCACTCTAAATGTTTATGGTTGTGCTGGTTCCAAAATTAGCAATTATCAAGAAGTCCAGTAAACTTCAGTTCAATAGTAAACTCAGCTAGTAATACATGCACTGAAAATAATGCTGAGATTCTAGTTTGGGCAGACTGAAATATTTTGGTACAAATTGATATTTTTAACTTCTCACCGTTGGTTCAACCAGGAGGCAAACTGTCAGATAAAATAGATCTCCAGTATTGTACTGCAGTACTCACAAATGTAGAGATTGAACGCAGGAAAATAGACTGTGTCCCAAGGGATGTACAAAAATATTCATTCTACTTTCAACACATTAAGAGCAGTTACGGGCAATTGTCTTGTCACCCATCAGTCAAGACCACTGTCCACATGATCATTGACTAAACGATCTAAAGTAATGATCTAAGTGTATTGTTCACTACTCAGTTTATTTACCATGTAGGATCTTCACACTGCATGCAAGGACCTTTAACACTGATAATTGGGGGGTCCCCTGGACCTCTACTTTTGTATGTCATGGTTAACCCTGGTTCCCTTAGTAAATTGAAATGTATATTTTTGAACTAAATTGAAGTGTATGATATCTGAATAATGTCTTATATTCTCCAAATATTATGACATTTGTGATAATTGCTATGTACATTTCTCATTGGTAGCTACATGGCCCTCACATGTCAGGCTGTAAGAGCACAATGAAGTTTTCCGTGCTGTGATAAGACTTAATACTGTTTGAAGCAGCTATAATCCTTACTCACTCACACATTACACATGCTAGACTCTGACAAGGTTGGCTATGTAGAGTACAAGTTAATTACACACGGGTTGATAGATAAGTTGTAAGCTGTTCATGGAAGGAATTGCGTAAAAATGAAATCTTTCATTGTGGACATTACATGATGCAACAGAGCCAGTGAAATAAGCAGGGGCCTTCTTTTGAAAATGGAAAAATTTGAGAAAGTATTTTGATCTTTTGATGACATTGACATATTGAAAATCTCTCACGGGAATTAGTACCAGGATTGAAAACACCTTGAAAACACTAGCATGTTAAGGAGATATATTGAATGTAAACCTCTTAACATATGTTAAATGGACAAGTAAAGTATACATATGTACTCTCAAGAAAAATTCATAATTGATTTAATTCTCTAAGTCTAAATAGCACCAAACAACTGCTCTAATTCCACAACCTGTGCATATGCATAGCGTAATCCCAGCCTCAGCAGAGTTGTTTCGCTTTGTTTACAGTGCATTCATCTACATAACATGAGAGTGATTTTTCTGTTACTCTGAGTGGTAGACATGAGATAGCATATTTTTTCGTGGAGATGTCCCAGTCCATCCAAAAGAGGTACAGCATATATGTTATAAATGGTATATGCTCACAGCCACGTACATGACATGCAACTTTTCAAAAGTAAAGTCACCTGAAATCATGTAAATCTGTTGCAAATTACAAATTCAAGTCTTTCTGTAGTGACATCTGATAGGTCATCTTCACTTGATAGATCTACTTTACATTCTTTGATGCACTCAAAACTTGTTTACACAGCTAATACTAATATTTGAGAATGTGTAAGGTCATTGTGCAAAAATTCAATATTTTTATTTGTGTTATTGTCTGGTGATGCCATGGTGAATGCTAGTTATCTACTAAACACTGTACTGAAACACTGTACTGAAGCACTGTATATATCCTTTAAGGTTGTCTAAGTAGCTGATCAGAGTGTATTCAGTGCAGCAAAGTAGGGAAATCATGAACAGATTACATTTACACCTGTTCTATGACCTTACCATGCTTACTGGCTCTTCCACAGAGATGAATACGACTTCTTGCCAGTGACCGAACCAAAGCACAACAAGAGTCCATTGGTGGTGGTGGAGCACAAGCTAGGTCTGGAGGCATGGTGTGTTAAGATCCTCTTCCGATACTGCTATGACAGGCTTCTAGATTGGAGAAGTAAAGAGGGACAGGCAAAATTTGCACGTGAGTATACACATAAGACTGAAAGCCAAACCGTGTGTGACATACCATTTGGTTCCCTGCTGTCATCAGTACTCCCCATTGCACTGTGGAGTCATCTGTACTCCCCATGCCTCCATGCAGTCATCTGTACTTCCCATTGCACCTTAGAGTGATCTGTGTACCCAATGGCTCCATGCAGTCATCTGTACTTCCCATTGCACCGTAGAGTGATCTGTGTACCCAATGGCTCCATGCAGTCATCTGTACTTCCCATTGCACCGTGGAGTGATCTGTGTACCCAATGGCTCCATGCAGTCATCTGTACTTCCCATTGCACCGTGGAGTGATCTGTGTACCCAATGGCTCCATGCAGTCATCTGTACTTCCCATTGCACCGTAGAGTGATCTGTGTACCCAATGGCTCCATGCAGTCATCTGTACTTCCCATTGCACCATTAGTAGTGATCATCTGTGCACCGTACCCAATGGCTCCATGCAGTCATCTGTACTTCCCATTGCACCGTAGAGTGATCTGTGTACCCAATGGCTCCATGCAGTCATCTGTACTTCCCATTGCACCGTAGAGTGATCTGTGTACCCAATGGCTCCATGCAGTCATCTGTACTTCCCATTGCACCGTCTGATCTGTGTACCCAATGGCTCCATGCAGTCATCTGTACTTCCCATTGCACCGTAGAGTGATCTATGTACCCAATGGCTCCATGCAGTCATCTGTACTTCCCATTGCACCGTAGAGTGATCTGTGTACCCAATGGCTCCATGCAGTCATCTGTACTTCCCATTGCACCGTAGAGTGATCTGTGTACCCAATGGCTCCATGCAGTCATCTGTACTTCCCATTGCACCGTAGAGTGATCTGTGTACCCAATGGCTCCATGCAGTCATCTGTACTTCCCATTGCACCGTAGAGTGATCTGTGTACCCAATGGCTCCATGCAGTCATCTGTACTTCCCATTGCACCGCACCATAGAGTGATCTATGTACCCAATGGCTCCATGCAGTCATCTGTACTTCCCATTGCACCGTAGAGTGATCTATGTACCCAATGGCTCCATGCAGTCATCTGTACTTCCCATTGCACCGTAGAGTGATCTGTGTACCCAATGGCCCATGCAGTCATCTGGGCTCCATGCAGTCATCTGTACTCCCATGCTCCATGCAGTCATCTGTGTACCCAATGGCTCCATGCAGTCATCTGTACTCCCCATTGCACCATAGAGTGATCTGTGTACCCAATGGCTCCATGCAGTCATCTGTACTCCCCATGGCTCCATGGCTCCATGGCTCCATGCAGTCATCTGAACTCTCCATGGCTCCATGCAGTCATCTGCACCATATCTCCCCATGGCTCCATGCAGTCATCACTCCCATGGCTCCATGCAGTCATCTTGCACCATAGAGTGACCTGTGTACCCAATGGCTCCATGCAGTCATCTCTACTCCCATTGCACCATAGAGTGATCTGTGTACCCAATGGCTCCATGCAGTCATCTCTACTCCCATTGCACCTTAGAGTGATCTGTGTACCCAATGGCTCCATGCAGTCATCTGTACTCCCCATTGCACCGTAGAGTGATCTGTGTACCCAATGGTTCCATGCAGTCATCTGTACTCCCCATGGCTCCATGCAGTCATCTGTACTCCCCATTGCACCATAGAATGATCTGTGTACCCAATGGCTCCATGCAGTCATCTGTACTCCCCATGGCTCCATGCAGTCATCTGTACTCCCCATTGCACCATAGAGTGATCTCTATACCCATTATCCAGCCTCATGTAAGAATGTTAAGTTTTGATTGGTTCACTTGACTCTGATAAAATACCATGTACACCCATCACGATCCGCGAGCAGGGAGTACAAAAGTCATATTATCCCGCCATGCCTCGGTGACCACGCGAAGTGAGAAAAGCGTGCATAGCCAAGCCTTTAGTAACATGCGCTGCATTGAGGTCAATCTGTGAACCGTGGCATCTCACATAAATAAAAACAAGTCGATTCGATGTGTATTGTTTTCTTTTGATTTAGTAAAAACATTCGGCTAGATAAATGCGTTATCACATCGTGTCAAGGGAAATACGGGGTTTTATCAGTCCCGAGTAAGGTTGTATTCCCCGAGCCGGAGGAATACAACCTTACTCGGGACTGATAAAACCCTGTATTTCCCTCGACACGATGTGATAACTTATAATGGCTCCATGCAGTCATCTGTACTCTCCATAGATCCATGCAGTCATTTGTACTCCCCAATTCTCCATGCACAATTGTTGTGATATTTTAAGTTTAATTGAATCATCTAAAGGTATGGGGAGGCTTATTTTTAACAAAGGCATGCCCAAATTATGGAGGCTTGTGTCTGGTGACCTATGGCACATTTTGAAAAATTTGCATTTCTATCCTTGCTTTAGAGTTGCGCTTCATCATTCAAGATTTCCACCAGTCCCAAGGAGAATTTCGTTCATCTTTCTTTACATAATGTATTTGTTTGTGTCTCACAGATCCTCAGGAAGTTTCTGGTCTGTCAAGAGCTGTTCTTCTTATTCAACCCGACTGCTACACAGTCTGGAATATTAGGTAACTATCCAGTTTCTGAACTCCATTTTCACTCAACACCAGTGTCATATATAACTGTATCTTGACTGAATGTCTAATGCATGATTTATGAGATGAAACACCTTGTTGTGCTAAAAACCTCAGAGATCAAGCAGTGCTGAATGAGGCCTCGATGGCTTCTTTGAAGAATGAAAATGCTGGTCCTAAATTACTTGATTTAACAATACTGATATGGTTCCCTTCTAATGAAGAAATGTAAAGTTGGCCGGAACTATCCCGGAGTTGGAGATATGACAAACTTGGTCATCAGGATGTTCACACCTGACATATTCAGGGCAGCGGTCTCACAATATTCAGAATAATCTCATGAGACTTCCTAGGGGGCATCTCGATATATGATACACAATTGTAAATACACAATAATTACCAACGCATGGAATTTATGATGAAATTCATGACTATTAATCTGACATTCTTCTTTGTAGGAAGGACCTTGTGGAGTGTGGGGATGTAACAATTGCAGATGACTTGAAACTAGGATCCTTGATTCTATCTAAACATCCTAAAAGTGCTGAAACATTTATACACAGGTAACATGGTGTTGGGTGTAAATGATATCAACTAATTCTGCAGTACTAGAAGTGGATCTAGAAACATTCCAAATTTACATCTCCATTCTTTCTAATGACAGTTGATATTAATGAGGTAAATGATGTCACTGATCCGTATTTCTTCTATGTATTGCAGCAATCTTCATGTCATTAGTAGACATTAATCTCAATGTTCTTCTGTTATGAAGTTGTGTGTGACAAAATCAATAGCATACACACTGTTTATATTGGTGCACTGTTTACTGGGATTGCCATGGTTATGCAGTCTTCCAAGATTCACATAGTTAATTAACAATGTATTCCTGTGTTCAGATTTGAAAATGTACATGAGTTTTCTTTCAAATATCCTGTAAGGCACATGTTGAGTTTTAGATAACAAAGCTGTTCTGTAGTTCTCTCTGCACAACTTGTGACTCAGTCACCTGACACACCACCTTGGCCCTAAACCCGTTATGTTGATTCTGGACAAGGGATGCACTGGCCATTCTAAAACTGTATAGATGATTCAAACATAATAAATTACGCAAAATTATTGAAACATTATTTATCTAGCAGAACATGGTTTAGTCATAGAAATTTCAGGAATCTGTAGATTCTTCTTCCAGAATCAATAGATTCCGATGAATACTCCAGTACACAGTGCTATGCTTGTGGATATAAGTCCAAGATTCACCATGAATATGTTTGTCAGCTTTGTTAGCACAATAACCATTCCCTGGTGGCAGACCCCTACCATCTGATGCCACATTGACTTGTACACCATGATATCACTGAGCTCCAAATGACTCTCTCTGCATGTCTGTCAGGCGATGGCTGCTGCTGAAGCTGCTCAACCAGTGTCTTGCCTCCAGTAACGACAGCAATGCCAGTAACAACAGTTGCCAACAAGATGGCTGCATCAACATGGATGCTATTGGTGTGGACTTCCTGCCCCACGTGGATGACCACGCCCCCAACAATCACATGCTCCAGATGGCCATCCACAGAGATGTCCAGGGACAGATGCAGGAGGAGTTGAGTGTATGCAGGCGTGCCGCGGACAGGTACCCATGTAACTACCACGCCTGGAGCCATCGGATCTGGACATTACAACACTGCTATAACTGTTCAACACGGGTATGTCATCTGTGTCCATTAAGACACCGCTGTGACAGTCATCTCAGGGCTGTTAATGCTTAAAGAGGTTAATGATACTAACAGATTCAAACTTGGCTTTAACTTTTCAAGCTTTTATTTATGGAGTAAGTGTGTAGCAGAAGTTAGGTTCAGTTACCTGATGTAGGCAGAAGAAGTTAGGTTTAGTTGTGTGAGTGTGATACCTGAGGCAGGTTGGGTGGCAGACACTGATTGCAGGGTTCTCATGGTTGAACCAATACCTAGTGCTATGCTGCCAAGAGAAACTGGTGCTGTTTGATATATGCACTTTCTCATTGCTTATGCTGAGTTATGCTCGTAAGAGAAATTTCCACAGGAGTTAAAAGTAAATATGAAAATAATAGATTCAATTTTTGAAACTTCAGGCACAGTACCTCACAGTACCATAAGCACCTGCCTGACACCTGTAGTGAAGGTGTCTTGTGTGGAGAACACCTGTTAAGGTGTCTTCTGTGCAGAAAACCTGTGTGGTTAAGATGTCTTGTGTGAAGAACACCTCTGTGGTTAAGGTGTCTTGTGTGCAGACACCTGTGTGGTTAAGGTGTATTGTGTTAAGAACACCTCTGTGGTTAAGGTGTCCTGTGTGAAGAACACCTGAGTGATGAAGGTGTCTTGCATGGAGAACACCTGTGGAGAAGGTGTCTTGCATGGAGAACACCTCAGTGATGAAAGTGTCTTGTGTGGAGAACACCTCTGTAGTGAAGGTGTCTTGTGTGAAGAACACCTCTGTGGTGAAGGTGTCTTGCATGGAGAATAGGGCTGCGCAATATAACCGGTTTACCGGTATTTACCGGTTCAGACATGAACACGATACGTATTGCGCTATGCTGATCGAAAACCGGTATTTTGACATGCATTCGGAAAACTTCCTAACACCAGGAAATCTTTGGATATTTCCAATTTTTAAATCGTTCCTTTCCTTGTTTCATTTGTGCCAAACATTATTTACATTTATATATTGTCATCATTAAAAGTTCTTATCAAAGCCTAGTCAAGCATAGTGATTTTGTTCTGTTTTTGCTTTATAAATCAAGCATTAATTCGATAATAAGTAGTTTTTGCTAAAAAAAACTTCTTACAATATATTGCAATACATATTTCAATATATGCTTTCGCATCGCAATATGAAAATTCTATGCAATACCCACCCCTAATTGAGAATACCTCTGTTATTAAGGTGTCTTGTGTGTAGAACACCTCAGTGATGAAGGTGTCCTGTGTGAAGAACAACTCTGTGATGAAGGTGTCTTGTGTTGACCACCTCATTGATGAAGGTGTCCTATGTGAAGAACACCTCTGTGATGAAGGTGTCTCGTGTGTAGAACACCTCAGTGATTAAGGTGTCCTGTGTGATGAACACCTCTGGTTAAGGTGTCTTGTGTGGAGAACACCTCTGTGGTGAAAGTGTCTTGTGTGAAGAACACCTCTATAGTGAAAGTGTCTTGCATTGAGAACACCTGTGGTTAAGATGTCTTGTGTGTAGAACACCTCTGTGGTGAAGGTGTCCTGTATGAAGAACACCTCTGTCATGAAGATGTCTTGTGTTTAGAACACCCCAGTGATGAAGGTGTCCTGTGTGTAGAACACCTAATTGATGAAGGTGTCTTGTGTGGAGAACACCTCATTGATGAAGGTGTCCTATGAGAAGAACACCTCTGTGGTTAAGGTGTCTTGTGTGTAGAACACCTCTGTGGTGAAAGTGTCTTGCATGAAGAACACCTCTTTGGTTACGGTGTCTTGTGTGAAGAACACCTCTATGGTGAAAGTGTCTTGCATGGAGAACACCTCTGTGGTTAAGGTGTCTTGTGTGTTGACCACCTCAGTGATGAAGGTGTCCTGTGTGAAGAACACCTCTGTGATGAAGGTGTCTCATGTGTAGAACACCTCATTGATGAAGGTGTCCTGTGTGATGAACACCTCTGGTTAAGGTGTCTTGTGTGGAGAACAACTCTGGTTAAGCTGTCTTGTGTGAAGAACACCTCTTTGGTTAAGGTGTCTTGTGTGGAGAACAACTCTGGTTAAGCTGTCTTGTGTGAAGAACACCTCTTTGGTTAAGGTGTCTTGTGTGAAGAACACCTCTGTAGTGAAAGTGTCTTGCATGGAGGACACCTGTAGTTAAGATGTCTTGTGTGTAGAACACCTCTGTGGTGAAGGTGTCCTGTGTGAAGAACACCACTGTCATGAAGGTGTCTTGTGTCTAGAACACCCCAGTGATGAAGGTGTCCTGTGTGTAGAACACCTCTGTGGTTAAGGTAGCTTGTGTGTGGGACACCTCTGTGGTGAAAGTGGCTTGTGTAAAGAACACCTGAGTGGTGAATGTGTCTTGTGTGTAGAACACCTCTGTGGTGAAAGTGTCTTGTGTAAAGAATACCACAGTGGTGAAGGTGTGTCTTGTGTGTAGAACACCTCTGTGGTGAAAGTGTCTTGTGTAAAGAATACCACAGTGGTGAATGTGTCTTGTGTGTAGAACACCTCTGTGGTTAAGGTGGCTTGTGTGTAGAACACCTCTGTGGTGAAAGTGTCTTGTGTGTAGAACACCTCTGTGGTATGGTGAATGGAGCATATGCCTAGAGTGGAGAAAGTCAGTGGTTTGATCCCAGACTGTACTTGTTGTTGCCCTGCCTGGCGGTGGTTGACCTGGAGACAGTTTTCTGTTTTTAAGCCCTATTTCCCATCACCTTGTGTGCATTCTGCTGATATGAACTGCCTCCACTCCCTGCCTACAGGTCCTCCTAGCAGAGCTTCATGCAACACAGTCTTGGGTTTCTAAGCACATCTCCGATCACAGTGGCTTCCACTACCGCCAGTTTATCCTCAACCAGCTGCTCCAGCAAGCTGACATTCTCAGGGACAAGTTCTGTACTAATGCCCACAACCTTCTAGAGAGGGAGCTTGAGCTGATCCTTGATCTCATCAATTCCTATCCCAGTCATGAAGCTCTCTGGTATCACAGGTAATGTCCTTGATCTCATCAATTCCTACCCTAGTCATGAAGCTCTCTGGTATCAAAGGTAATGTCCTTGATCTCATCAATTCCTACCCCAGTCATGAAACTCTCTGGTATCACAGGTAATGTCCTTGATCTCATCAATTCCTACCCCAGTCATGAAGCTCTCTGGTATCACAGGTAATGTCCTTGATCTCATCAATTCCTACCCCAGTCATGAAGCTCTCTGGTATCACAGGTAATGTCCTTGATGTCATCAATTCCTACCCCAGTCATGAAGCTCTCTGGTATCACAGGTAATGTCCTTGATGTCATCAATTCCTACCCCAGTCATGAAGCTCTCTGGTATCACAGGTAATGTCCTTGATGTCATCAATTCCCCCAGTACCCCAGTCATGAAAGCTCTCTGGTATCACAGGTATCACAGGTAATGTCCTTGATACTCATCAATTCCTACCCCAGTCATCAATTCCTACCCCAGTCATGAAGCTCTGTGGTATCACAGGTAATGTCCTTGATCTCATCAATTCCTACCCCAGTCATGAAGCTCTCTGGTATCACAGGTAATGTCCTTGATCTCATCAATTCCTACCCCAGTCATGAAGCTCTGTGGTATCACAGGTAATGTCCTTGATCTCATCAATTCCTACCCCAGTCATGAAGCTCTCTGGTATCACAGGTAATGTCCTTGATCTCATCAATTCCTGTATGCAGTGTGTAGATTTGACACATATCAGTTTCACAGTTCACAATGTCATAGACCTGAGTCATATATAGAGATTAGTACATGAGCAAGTGTGTCATATGACTTATGTGAAATGAATGTGAAATTTGTAGCGAGGACAATACTTAATTTTGCATGAGTTTCGTATAAGTTATCTGACACACTTGCTCGAATGTAATAATTTCTTTATAATCCATTTTATTCATGTACATTTGTGCAGTAATGGTAAGCAAGTGTGACGTCCCTCTTCATTGACGTCACGTCACATTCAATATGACACTGGTTATGTTTCACCATATGGGTAATAATTGTGTTTAAGCCATTTTTGTGTTTACATATGAGCTGCCAACAAAAGAGTTTGGTTAAAATCCATCTTTATTTGGCAAAATCAGTATCCTGAAATCAGCTTCAGTGGATTCTAATGTATTTTCCTGGTACTATCCAGAAACCAACATGATAATTTTAGTACTTGGAACGAATATCTTTTCTCAATGGTCATAATAATCAGTTTCATTAAAATTTCGGTATGTTTAGCATACCAGCAGCCTTTCAGGTACTGACAGAAAACTGGCAGTTAGTGGCAATTTTATCTACATCCATTGACTGACTCTCTCCAGAAAATTCGTCTTCCATTCACTTCATCATTCCCTGAGTAAAACTGCCAAGACCTCCTCCCACTCCCAGCAGCCCCTCTCATGTGACAAGAATGGCGGCTCGTGTTCCAGTGATGAACATGGAACCACAGATGAGCATCAAGGGCAGAAAAAGTTCAAGTCAGAGAACAGCGAACAACAAGGGCTGGTCCTGAGGGAGCTGGACTCTGTATCCCACAAAACAGCCCCAGACTCACACACACGTCACCTAGCAACACGATATAAAGAATGGATTCAACAATGTTTTAGTCATTAGAAACATGTTATAGATTAATGTATAATTATACGTATACTTTTAATCTTAATCTTATGCATTGTTATGAAAATGAAGTTACAGTGATATTAAAAGTGAGTGAAGGGAGTGATGTATTGCTGAAATCATTCTGTGATGTCTGTATTGTGCTATACATGTGTTGCTGTGAACATAATCAGAGGAATTATGTGTCTCCTGAGATTGGTAGAACAGTTTCATGTTGAATGTATGAAGTGAATGAGATTAATGAGAGATACATCAATAGCTTTAGGCTACTTTTGTATTTTGGGTTAAGTCTCTAATGTTCCCAGGAGAGTATTTCTCTCCAAACACACTACTTGGCAGGGGTTTGTGTGTCAAGCGCTCTGCTGTCAGGATTTGTTGCGATAAACCTTGGGACATTTCTCAAGAAATATGGTTCATGTAAACAGATCAAATACATTTTCCTTAAGACTTTGTATACAAATAGACCATATACAGATTTTGGTGTGTTGCTACTTGGGTAACCAGTTTTCTTGCCTCATCTACTGAATCATCACTGGATAGAGTGAAATCCACATAAGAATTCTTTTCAAAACCTTCCTGAAATATCTTTGAGAAATATCACCCAGCCACACTAGTGTTTACATTGATTTTTTCCCCATTTATTACATCAAACTGATTTCTCCCTCCACTGCTGATGAGATGCTGTTAGATGAAGAGGTACAGCGATCATTGCATGTTGTTTTCATCAGTTATCTGCCAGTTTAGTATAAACAAGATGTTCAATGTGATTATCATTACACCCAATCCCCAGGTCCAAATCCCCACATGGGTAGATGTGTACAACACATTTCTGGTGTCCCCTACCATGATATGGACTATTGCTCAGAAACCCCACATCACTCAGTAGAGCTGGACTAAAATAAACTGGCAATCTGGAAATGTCATTATTGCCATTCCAAACTTACTGACCCGATTTCTGACCTCTCGTGACATTTATTGCGACATCTGGCAGTCTTGAAATATCCAACACAGTCAGTCTGAAACTCAGCAACAGACAAGGGAGATAATATTTTGTTAATCTGTTTGCACAACGAGATGAGTTGACTGCTGAATCTTGATGAAATGGTTAGGTTCAATATGTTACTGTATGAGTTCTGTACCCACAAATCTTGGTTTTGACCCCTACTCAAACATTCAGATGTATGGAAGTTGCGTTCCCACTTCCGGCTATCCTTAGGCTGTAACTGATTTGCTTTGCTCAAGGTTGCCTTTTGTGAGTTAACGTTAGACGCCGGCATATTGTTATGTCAGTTTCCAAGGGGACTCACTGTCAGTCTGGTAGAATTGATCCATCCAACATGTATATGTTGTAGTGGTAGTGGTAGCTGTAGTGTGCAGTAGTAGTCATACTACTAGTAGCAGCAGCAGTAGTAGTAATAGTAATTTGCATCAAATCCGTACCGCCAAGCATGCTCAAATTGCAACATTATTCCCCTAGTCAGTTGATCAGTGTGTGCTCCACTTCCACGCTCAGCTCCCTGTGGAGCACACAAACCATGCAACCTGTAAAGGTTAACACATTACCACCTGAGATTAGGTACCCATTTACTGCTCCATGAACAGAGATATATTTCCTACAAAGTCACTTCTTCAGGTAACAGGAGCGGTAGGATAGCCTAGTGGATAAAGCGTTCGCTCGTCACACCGAAGACCCGTGTTTGATTCCCAACATGGTTACAATGTGTGAAGCCCATTTCTGGTGTCAGCGCCATGATATTGCTAGAATGTTGTTAAAAGCGGCATAAAATCAAACTCACTCACTCACTTGAGGTAACACCATATGTATTGTGGATGCTACGTTGATGCTTCAGTATGTATTTACTGTTGTCTAGGTTAGAGGTTGGGTGACTGTAACCACTGGTAGTAGATGCAGCTCCCGCCATGTAATAAATAAGTGACTACCTATATTAATGGAAGATGCAGATTCAGATGCCAAAACCTATGCAATGCAAACATAGCATATTTATATGTGAGCATTTTCTGTTACAATGGATCCTGTATGACTGCAACATATTAAGCTGTTTATGGTTGAATTGTATTAAAGCACATGTGTAGATCGCTCCCCCGTGGACTATTCAAGATAAGAACATATAGTTGTGCTTAAGGTCAGGGTACCATAGGACCACCAAATGTGACTCAACCTTAACAACAGCAAAGGGGGATAACTCTCTGATAGTTCACAGTCTGCCGCATGATTGCCCAAACTATTACAGATACTGGACACCACTAGGAAGGATATTACTGGTGCTTCACAGATTCAGGCAGGCAGGCTCATGACAGCCGAACCTGCACAAGCAATTGAACCAGCTGTGAGTTCAGGGATTATCCTAGACAAGGAAGATATAGTGATGGAAATGGTCAGTCTGTATATTGGCCTCGTGTAATTTCAGTTCCAGCTATCTCATGTACAGGTTGATGTAAGTCTGTCCTTGAACTCAGGACTGTTAGTTGTTGTACCAGTCTGACACAGTATATATATAGTTGATCTATCTGTATATTGTAACCAGATGGTTTGGTTTGACCCAGTATATATATAGTTGATCTATCTGTATATTGTAACTAGATGGTTTGGTTTGACACAGTATATACATGTATAAAGTTGATCTATCTGTATATTTTAACTAGATGGTTTGGCTCAAAATGCACTGATCAATTGTCATAATAAATCAAATATAAAAATATGTATATCTACATAATATTTTCAATCAAATAGAAACATGATTATTTTCCCAGATGATAAATCTAAAAAGTATTTTTATGGTCAATGAAATGTTTATAACCTATCAAGGAAATTCTACAACTGTAGTTAGTACTCATGGTTGAAACCCTCCCTTCTCCTCCCGACATTGTTCATGTATCTCTGCTTCCGACACTTTTATCAGTAGGATCATCTGCACTGGTTTCTAACTTTACACATTTTGTGTGGTACGTCCACCAAAATGGCATTTGTTCATGTGTAGATAAATGCCTTAAAATTCTTCTCTTTTAAATTCAGTTGATTCATTACCATTTTTCTGGTTGAAACAAGTACACAGTGCTCTTCCCTTCACACTGATAGGTGGCAGTATCTTGCTAGATTTGACACTCCAATATAAACGTCCACAGTTAGCTCCCTTGAGTGTTGAACTTCAGACTTTTGGGTTGGCGATACATGGATGATGTTCAATGGCAATGTTTGGTTCATGTTTCCAGATATTATGTGCAGCTGAAGGATGTTGGTAGGAGAGCGATGTCAGTGTTGTGTGTCGGGTCATACATGCCAACAAAACAAACAATTATATATCCTGTTTGTTTGTTTTGCCCAAGTAGTGCACATCCTTCTACACCAATGGTTGTGGTTTATACTTAATTCTGGAACCATTCGCCTAGAATATGACACAAACATGTATCCGCCATCTTCTTTTATCAAGTGTATTATTTATCTGCCCTATAAGTGATAAGTACTGAGGGTATTTCTGATGCTGTTTTGTTTCCAGTCCATATTGTGCATTGTGTTGTTTAAGCACCCATTTAGTTTCTTGTTTTTCATATTAATTCATAGCAGAATGTTTTTCTTCATGATCTTGTTAGATGGTAGCAGATGCTTTTACATTCATACAAGTATTAGCATCATTTGGGTTTGTTTTGTTGACACTACTTTTGAGTTAATGAGTCAAAGCGAGTTTCTGTTTTTGAATTGTTTCGTCAGCTTTATTGATATTATCTACCTCAGAGTTCATATTATATCTGCCGTAGACCTCACTGCCATACTGAAGGCAAAACACCAGATTGAGTTGCATAGGCTCTGTTGTCTGTGGTATTGCTGTTCGTCATTAGCTGTTGCCCAGCAGTTTGTGCTACCATGGATACATAGAGGTCTCTCATTGTTGTACAGGTGTACTGGATTGAAGGTTATATGTCTGTGTTGGCACAGATAAGGTTTTGTGGGACCCTCCCGAGAACCATTTTGTAATCAACTGTGAGATGAAATCTGAACACAGGGAAACGGGATGTGACTTGTAGTAGTACAACATGAATAAGTGCTTGTATGCACCAGGTTTTATACCACAAATCACAGGCATTAAGCCACACAAAGCCCCATGTGATATTGCTTCAACAAATTTATCTTGCCAACATGTTTTATTCTGCCATTGTGAAAGAATTTAATCAAATGTAAATTTGATAGAAAACAGTGGTTCGATTTGTACAGTGTCACATGAATTCTGTGACTTGTTCACGATGTGTAGCTTTTCCTTCAGGCGGTACAAGGAATTTATTCTGCTCAGAAATATGTTTCCACCCAAGTGGGTACATAGTATTTACGCCATATAGCTGGAATATTGCTGAGTGTGGCGTCAAACTAAACTCACTCACATAGTATTTTATCCTGATGACATGAACCAGTCAGATATCAAGGTTCTAAGATGGAGGTTAGATTCAGCTTTTGTTGACCATACTGGAGCAGTGACTGCTGCTTGAATTGTTTTCATGATAAGAGTTGATGCACGATGTTCAGCATCTGAATAGTCCAGGATTTCAAGTTGCAGTGCGGCGTTGTCTCCACCCAGGATCCGATATCATTGGTAAGAACTACACACAAACCTGGTTGTTGGTGGGTCTCCTGTATATGTTGGTGTTGTAATATTCAGTGATTTCCTCTTGTTCCTCTAGTCAGCTGACATGCTGTGATGTAAGTGAATTACTGTAGTGTTAAACCAAACTCACTCACTCACTCATTACTGGTGAATCCTTTAACTACATCTTGTCCTGTCCTGGTAAATGGAATACAGGCCAATGTCCAGTCCAGTTTTATATCACCTGTACTTTGTAGCGATTGTAGAGTTTTAGGGGGGTAAATCCCACTCAGAATTGTGTCACATTTTGTTTGTTGATAGTTGTTATAAGTATGTTCTCATGACGCAGTTTGATATCACGTAACTCCTGTAGTTGGGTTGATTAATCTGGTGGTGGTGATGAACCTTGTGATGTGTGAAGCCCAGGAGTGATGCAGCATGATAGTGTGAACTAGGGGCAAACAACAGAGCCTCTGTGTTGAACTGCGGACGTCAACAGGGAATTTGATACCTCTAGTTGTAGTAGAGAACTGATAGTAATTCAGATATTCTATGGAGGAAGTATTCCAGGGATAATTTTGCTAGCTGTATAGTTTAGTCAATCATACTCATGAATCAATATCAAATGGTGATACAGGGTGTTTGTGAAATGGTGAGTGGTAGCAACCATCACAAACACATGCAAAGGCAAGTTAATTGGCTGAAAGAACACAGGAATAAAGGCACAAGTCAATATAGGGAATTACGTTATGGCATTAGTTGGGTGGAGCATGTTCGATTGTATCTCAACAGTTTGGTTGCTGTCAAGTTTCCAACTGTGTTGTGTTAAGCACTTTTTTCTACAGTGGATGTAACAGGATTTCAAATCTCCCCTTGATACATGATGGTGATGATGATGATGATGATGATGATGATGATGATGATGATGATGATGATGATTATGATGATTTGGAGATTTAAAGTGCACTTTCCAACATAATGCGTATTTTGCACACGGAAGCCCTTGCTATGTACAAGCATTTCACATGTATAGTATAATTAAGTAAGGCAGCTGAAACAAACACTAGCAAATCAAAACAGTTATGACTACAAAATGAATACTTGTGATTTCTTTCATCTATATAAAATATTTTTGTTTACATATATCATTTAATATAATATTCAACAAATGTCAATAGCACCATATGAGTTAATATTGCTAATATCACTGAATGAGATTGACATTTTAATGTGTTATAGCAGTATTTATATCCCACCATTTACCACATTCAGCCTTTTATTCATTACTCATATATGTTCTGTTTGTTGACACATTATGATGGTCATATTGTTTTGTGAAGAGCAGCTGAAACAATGCTTGGTAGTAATCTATAGTCTGGGCCCTGAATCAGAACAGTCTGGCCTAGATGATGGACTAAATGCATGCTTGCATGTACTTCATCATTTTCCTGTTATTGTTACCTCAGAAGTTCCACAGTAACTACAGGGAACACTTAATGGCTACCAATATGCAGAGACTTTTAGATTTTCATTTTATCTTGAGACATGTTTTTGCTGAATTGCCAGATACCAAATAGTGGATGTTTACTGGCTGATGGTACCTGTTCATTTTATTTTTTCTTCTTTGGGAATGTGTTCCTGTTCTTCCTTGTCATCAGTTACTCAAGTATTCCAGAAACCATGTCCGTCATCAAAGACAATATACAGACTCCCTGCTGTCTCCTGGACATACACCAAACGATATTTCAGTCTTTAAAAAAACCAGGCAGGTGCATGTCACACCTGTTTGTGATCTGACAGATACAGTTACTATGCAAAATTTCACGAATATTTAAAACTTTCAAACATATGATTGATATGTTTTTGATTGTTTGCCATCCACACCTTGAACAGTAGTTTGTCATAAGTCAGTCATCAATCTCAGAATTCTCAGATCTTTTACTTCATTACATACAGAACCTCTCCCAAGTGTCTTTCAAGATCAATTTTATCAAAACAGTAAATATCCAAGCTTGGAAGACAGGAGTAACATTCTGGTTATCATCCAAAATCAGTCTTCCTACTTTTTCACTTTGGAAATGTTAATTACCAGTGTCTTGACAATACAGATGACCAGCTTCGGTGGCAGAG